TCAAGAAGCAGCCAACATTAAGGAATTTCAAGGATAAAAGAAATTCCCAAAATAATGTCATCACGCTAAAGAATATGAACATGTTGAATATAAATTGCATCGTGTAAAATAAAAATAGCGTGTTGGCTGCAGACAAGCAAATGGTTACTTTGTTCCTCGAGTCACTGGCGTAATGGAACATAAAGGGAGTCCAGCTTACCTAACTACAAAAATGATTTATCTTTTTCTGTATTAAGGGCAGAAAATTTCTCACAGGGTTTCTTGTTCAAAGCACCAGACGAAAGTTAAAAACCTTGCTTGGTTTATGCATGAAATAACCTTGAGAAAAAGCAACAATATCTTGCTTCATTTGCCCACTTCATAAATCATTAAACTGGTCTCGAAACTTAGTCCTATAAAAAAGAAAATGAGTGTCCAACAGCCAAAGTCAAGGAAGGGGGTCTCTGGAGAAGGATAAAAGGAGGTTCTTGTAAAGCATTTGAGCACCACACAGTAAAGCGTGGTACAAAGAGGAGTCAGCACTGATCAGAGTTGGCAACTCTTCCTGGTGCAGAAATGCTAATAAGGACTCACCAGCATTACAAGCATGTTTGTGTGACATTGTCTCCAGTCTAATGAGCGCTTCTCTCGGGGTGGCTTTTAAGCTTCAACCGTGCTGCTGTAGCTGTGTTTTCGAGGTGACTTGTTTGGGTGCTGGGTGTCAAGGAAAAGATGGGAGTGAGGTGTGAAGTTGGTCACACTTCATTACGTAGTATATGCAGACTCACAGGTGGCAATTCAAAAAGCTAGAGCCATTCATTTTCTTTCAAGGACATTTTCAAGGACAGTGTTAATCACTTCCAGACATGGTTTCTCATTATTCCTTATGTCCAGCAGTCTGCATTTTTTTATGTCCTAATTTCTGAGGGGGGGAAAAAAAAAAAAAAGCCAGAATGCCTACACCTATGCTTCCAGAGGTTATTGGTCAAATGTGAATACCACCGTGGTCAAGACAGCCTTTTCCACTGATGACATTGGAGCCAGGATATCATTCAGGTCTTTGCAGGAATTATAAGCTCTGGGTAACAGTACAGGACTGTACAGCTACTCTTGATGTGCATCAGTGCAACAAAAATAAAGTCTGATCCTTGGAGTAAAATAATTTTGCCAGTAAAAAAGACAGCGTTGTCTATTATTTTCAAATGCACCATGAGACTTATTTTTTGATCACAATGTATTTGTACTGCCTCAGGATAAGCTTACCTTAGTAAGGAATTTATTCTGAACAGGTACTACTGTCTAATGATACTGATCAGAGGTTAATTGAATCGGTTTTTACATTAGGAGTAATAGAGACACATTGTGTTTGATTTTATCTGAGTAAAATTCAGAATCTATTCGTGTTGGAAAAAGAGCACGTTGCTTTTTTCTGTAGCAGTAAGAACTGTTTCCCTCTTAAGTAGCTATCATCAAAATGTATGCAGGTCCTTAAGGGGAATGTATTAGATTTCACTTGTATTTATTGGCACGTAAAACATTTCTGACAACAATTTTCCCTTTCAAGATGTTTCATGAAGATGCTGCTGGAGGTTGGCAGCTTGTGGCTGTTGATGTGAATAAACCCCAGGGCAGAGCTCCTGCATGTCTACAGGTATGACATTGCTTTTTCATAAATCAGTGTGTGTAAGCAGCACTACTCAAATGTTGGCATAAGGAGACTGTGGTGAGAAATAGCTACAGCAGTTTTAGTCATAACTTTCTTTAAGTCCATTGCTTTCTGCAGTGTAGGCTTGTTCACAAAAATCACCGATCAACAAGAAAAAAAGATAGACCACACCCAAAGGGAGAAGATTAGAAAAATGCATTCCTTAGAAAGGCTTTGTTTTGTGTGCTCATGAGAGAAAGATTTTAGGTTTTTTAAATATAAAATAAGTAATCATCCTTTATCTCTCAGACATTATATACAAACTGATTTCACGCCTAGGTTACTCACAACAGAAATGCTGCTTTATTAACTGCAAAAAACAATAATGTATGTCAGGAAGCATGACTAATCATAATAAACACAGAAGTACCTCGTTTCTCTTGTTCCATCTTGAAAATAGGCTCACAGAAGAAGGGGGAAGAGGCATGTAGGTAGTAAGCCATACAGTGTTTGAAACTTGCAAATTTAATATTCTCACTTGGACATAGGTGAGTTTGTAAAACTCTATCCTCATTGTTTAAATAAATTCAGACTAAGATAAATAATATTTTTATAAATCCCTTGTTATTACAGCATATTGTACAGCAGCTCAAATTTTTATTTGCAGGTTTAATAGTGTCACTTCTGGATGAAACTAACGTGCTTCAGAGTAGACAGCCAAAGCTACTATAGCAATCTGATAGCGTGACGTTTGCTGGCAGTTTTGATTATGTTTGGTTTAATGTGTAAACTAAAATACACGTACTTGTTGGCAGTATCTACATTGCTGCACACTAAGCTGGCAAGCACCTTTCATCCCCTCCACAAGCTGCTTGTTCTCAAATATATCTGCTTTTTCAAACCACTGCCATATATTTAATTATAGCATATGTCTTAACTGATAATTCCTCTTCCCAAATTTAATTCTTGATTTTGACAGCAACAGGAACGTTATTTATGGTGGTGTCAAGTAACAGTCTCGGGTATGTGGGTAAAATGAAGCTGAACTCACAATGAAAACCCCTTCAGATGAAAGTTAAGATCTGATTTACCTGGTCTGCCTTTGTCCCTAGTATTGCATTCTTGCCCCTTTAAGGAATCATGTGAATACACAGTAAATTGTGTTCCGGGGAACAAAAACCTCATGCATCAGCGGGTGCTGCAACTTTTTATAATTGCAACTCAACTAGCAATTTTCTTCTCATTCTTCATCCCTTTGTGCAATATCTGCAGGATTGCCAGGAATCTATGACCTTGCTGGATGTCAATCCAAGGAAAGCAATCCAAAGGAAAGTAGTGCGTTAAAATATTATTTTATTAGGATAGTGCCCAGAATAGGCTTTATTCTTATGAAATATAGACTAAAATACAGCCCAAAGAAAGCAAAATCTCGAAGTCTGGATAAATACACACACCTTTATTCATCTCACCATGGATTATTGTTTCAATTCCATCAATCCAAAGTAAAAAGAAAATAGACTTCCTAAAAAAATCATGCATTTAAGGCCTTTGCAATATATTAAAGGTATTATTTATGCAGCAAGTCCCTAGTGAGAAATGTGGTAGTTATTTTCTAACAGTTTGGGTGGGGCTTGTTCCTTAAGAGGAACATGGTGCATAAATCTAAATCTAGGAAAGAGTTAATCAGATCAGAGAATATATATCCTGCCTCTAGGACACATTCAATTAATATGCATTCTTCTGGCCTTTATTAGCTAAGTATATTGTCATTCAATATCCTGTGAAGGATGGAGTTCTTAGAAAAAGGTAGTGAAGACTCTCTATTGCCCTGTATCATTTTAATTAAATTTTGCAGTAAGTTTGGTTTTATTAATTCCTCTCTGGGCTCTGTAAATATTACTGCTCCAAATACGAGAGAGAACATTATTAAAAGTTCTGTTTCAACATGGGTCTGGGTCTGTGCTTTCGTGAAACTGCACTTACTGAGTGTATTGAGTTATTTAGAATTTACTTCCTCAACAAACTGTACTGTGCATCAAGAGAGGAAGTATCTTAGTGGCTAAAGGAATGGAGAGGGACTCTGGAGATCTGGGTTCTATTTATTGGCCAAGCACAAATTTCCTGTAGATCGTGAGAAAACTACTTAATAGGTATCTTTGCTTTAGTTCACATTCCTTATGGTGGAAAAGTGTATCCCTGCCAGATTTGGGTACTGTGGTGTTTAAACCTACTAACTACTTTTGAGGCACTCTAATAAGATGGAATTGTGCTATCTAAATTGGCAAATAGATACATCCAGCTCTCTAAAGCAAGGAGCGATGGAGGAAAGTATCATGTGATTTATGTGTGGTGTGTAACATAAAAACCTCTGTAATACAGGTTTTGGAAGACACTTCACATGGACTAGCTGGATCTGTTGGGTTTTACTGGTTTGCCCTTTGTACAACCATGCTTACTGCCACAGACCTGGTCAGGGGTTTCAGCCTGGCAGGCCTTGCCAGCCTCGGGAGAACATTGCAGCGGCACATGGAGCAATGCAGGTCTGGTGTTATTCCTCAGCAAACAGCAATAATTCAGAGATACCATATCGGCTCTGCGCAGAGCCTTTGTAACTCACTTCATCTCGTGCAAACGTGTCGTCGTTGCACTACACCGCTCAATTAAGTAAAACAAATAAGCCGGCTAGCCATGTCTTTACACTTCTGTCACAGCTGATCTGCAAAGAGGGGATTACGAAGGAGTTTCGGAATCCCGTCTAGTGAGTAGTGTGCCTCGATATGTCTAAACTGCTGGGCAGGTGAGCGCCGCTGCCCTTGCCAGGGTACCCCCTCCTGTCTCTCCCCAGAGCCCACCTGCCTTTCCAGTGGGCGCATGGCGTACAGGCAAAATAGAGCCAGCATCTGCATACAGGTCTGGGATCTGCAAGGGGGTCTTGATTACAGCAGTTAAAAGTAATTAAACCATGAGAGATGGGCAAGAAAGATGGGCCTTAATCTGGTGGTTTTGAAGAACTTTAACTCAACTCAGATGCCTAACTAAGTTTTTAGTTTTTTAGAAGTGGCTGGAAGTGGCAACATGAAAAATTAGTATCAGTATGGTTTCTGATTTTGACTTGCAAATCTATCCTAATGTGGGGCAAAGAGGCTTTTATTTCAGTATAATGGGTTTATATTTATTGCACTTTTCTTTTGAGTGTTCCTAAAGGTGCTTTGTGGTCTTTTGTTACTTATTCTCACTGTTCCCCATGACTGGCATTGATTTTAAATATTGATTTTCTTTTGTCACTGAAAAATAATCTTTGTGTTTTCCATTTCAACATGAACCATTTGGCATGAAAGCATGCTGAGGCTCCCACATTGCCACATTATTTTGCTGTTGTTGATATTACTTTAACACATTGTCATGTGTTAGAACTTCCTGCCTACCGTGATTTACTCCTACGAGCTCAGTAGGAAGCTCTCAGTTCACAAATAAAGAAAAACTGAGCACCAGGTTCCAGAAAAAATCCATAAGAAAGCTCTTTCAGCATGTATTTACCACTTTAATCTCATGTTAAAGGCACACTGTGTTTCTTATTATTCCTTTCCTGTTAATTTTAGAGGTTGTTGTTTTTATCACTCCTTCCTTCTCTTTGTCTTCCTGTCCGCAAAGACTTCTAAAATACGCATGCTGATTTAAAGCTGAACTGGAAAGTTTTAACTCACACATCTTCCATGAATCTGTGGTTGGTATTACTAACACCAAGTAATGACATCTTCAGTCTTCTCAATGCTTAGTTTTGTAATGAACAGAGAAAGTCTGGAACTGTGATTCCTGTGGGGAACAACAAGCCAGACAGCAATTCCCTCTTCATGCGAATATTTTGGGATCGTCTGTCCAGCAGAAATGAAACGCACAGCTGGAGATGCAATGATGTTTAGAAAAAACTTGGGAACACTGTGTGTGATGTGTCAGCATACATGGAAGTGGTCACCTACTGACAAACTGTATGTGCACTCGTACTCTGATAGTAAAATCTTCAACAGATTAAAAATACTGCATTCACTTTTAATCCTATGTGCTCCATCTAGGGAAGAAATAGAAGATCACAAAGCTATGATCTGAGCAAGCAAATGACATTATTATGATTACAGCACACTTGAACATATGATTAATGTTAGAAATTCAATCATATCTTTTTGCCTCAAAAAAAAAGTCAGTCCTTCATGCTACATATTATTATCCGAATGTGTTACAGATTTCTGTACGATTACAGAATTTTAGAGAACCTTGGAGAGACAAAAAGATCAGAAGTCATATCAAAAGACAGAAAACCTATAGAGGGTGGAAGAGACATGGTGAGAGAAGCAGGAATTGAGTGTGTTAGCAGTTTGATAATGGATATATTCAATGAGAGAGAGAGAAATAAGACAAAACAGTACGTAGGGGTTTTCACTGCAGGAGTAACAGAAGAGAGTACTTCTCTTTCATGGGAAGTAATTGGTGAAGCAGAAGAGTGTGGTAGTCTGTTTATACACTAATTTGGTCTTTAGTGTAATTTTGGAATCAAGCAGAAGATATGCCTACTCAGTCCTATTCTCTTCTTACCTACAGTGGCTTTCATTAAATTAAATACATATATAATACATTTCTTCCAATTAATTGGAATCCTCTCTTGTAGTGAAAGAAAAATTTTGTCATTCAGTTGACTAAAATTAAGTTTTGATTTGAATGAGTTTATTGAGTATATTACACGAGGTTGTTCAGAAGCAGATTAAATTGATTCCAAATCCTAAACCTCTGAGGCTGTCATAAAAAAACCAAAAAATCTACTTATTTTTTCTGTGCCCTGTTCCTATTTAAAAAGCCTAGAAATTGCATCAGTTAACAGAAGCTTGGATAGTTCAGTGATGTATTTGGCACTGAAACAGAGGTAAAAAGCAACCATGTTAGTTTTACTGAGGAGACTCAGAAGCAGAATATGTGAAGTCTAAATGTAAAAGCAAGCTGTTAGTTTTGGTGAGGTA